CTCTGCCCCAATACCCACCAAGCCAGCGAGCCACCGAGCCACGAGCCCTCGGGGTAAGCCACAGCGCGCACAGGCAGCTACGGTGACGGTTCACAGGCTTCGGGTTACTACCATGCACCAATAAGGGAGATTAGAAACAGAAAAGGAGATTACAGAGAGATCAGATATCAGAGGTGTACCTCTCTGTGTTCCTTGTCACACAGCGCGCGCGCACACACGCATCTGTACACACATGCATGCTCAGACAGCCGTACATGCACGCATTCCTTGGTACTGCCATCTAAATATATGCACCGACACTATGCCCTGCAACGTGGCCGGTGTGTTTGTCCTGATCCTGCATAAAGGCAGGCAGGTATGTGTGAGAGTCCAGGCAGGAACAAACTGCCAAGCACAATTTAATTGCAGCCAAACTCAAAGAGACAGCCTGCCGAATTGTTTCACTCAGCCAGGTGCCCCCCAGAAACCCGCAATTCTACAACCAATTGTGGAATCCTGAAATTATTTTTAAAATGTGCTGAAAATGTACTTTAAGAAACGTAATCTTGCTATATATGGCAAGGTAAGGGCGAACCCGAAGGATGAGTGTAGCCATCTGACCACTTTTTATTGGGTGACATATTATATGAGCACTTTAGTGTAAGCTTGGAGAAACTACAGCCTAGGTAAGGCTGGAGTTGCCATAAGAATTAAGGGTGCTAAAAATGGATGCTGAATAGACCAGCATGAAAGATGGCATACAGCTGTAGGTCTGAAAAGGGGGAAATACATGTGCACATTTATACATGAAAGCCATTGAGGAGGGCTGAGTCTCGCCCTGAGTATCTGTGCAGGTAAGTCATTCATAAGAAAACTAATTACCTGTGCATGTACTTGGACTTGTTTAATTGAATAAGCTGCATGTGTGCATATTTGCTCTGTTTTTTTGGCGGGGGGGCTATACAGTTATGGATTGAGTCTTTTTTTAAATGATAGCTTTGGGGAAATTTTAAAAAGTGGAATGTCTTATATATATATATATATATCTGTGTGTGTGTGTGTGTGTGTGTTTTGAAAGCCATCGTGCTGAATAGCTATATTGCCAGAAAGGAGGATCCAATCCTATAAACAAGATTACCATTTCTTGAAATCTAACTTAAGGCCTGTTTATTTTAGGGCACATCAACTAGTTTAATATAATTGACTGTTTTATTTGTGTAACTGTTGTCATTTCAAAGTCAGGAATTAAGGATGCTTTCCTATCCAGATAATGTGCCTTGTTTCCAGCCATATTAAGATAAAAATGAAACTCAGTAAATTTTGAATACAGCAGATAAGGTACAACATACAACATGGTTGAAAATGTCTTCCTTGCAGAAGGCTGCCCATTGCTGTGTCTACACATTTTAAAATAGATATATTTTTTCAATAAATGCTAGAAAGCAATAGGGCGGTGAATGCCGCACCTCTCAGTCAATCAGCACAACAATTCTTTAGAAATCTTTGGAATCACTTCATTTATACATACATTATCTCAAAAGCACTGGCCCCGTCCTGTGTTTCTGCTAATATGAAGTTAATTAGACATCAAACTTTGAGCCTTGAGCAATGGGCATTACAACCTATCCAGGGGTATGTCAGGAAAGAAAAAGAAAGTGTTCTTTTATGACCAAATCAGGAGGTAATACAGCTGGCAATGCATACATGACAGATGTGCATATTTGTAACCTTAAATAGAAAGCAGGGAGGCAACTGTGTATATTACCTAGGAAGAGACAGCAGCAGACACTAGCCAAAAAATAAAACACAGAAAGGGACAACAGAGACTGTAGACGTAATAAAACAGCAAAAAAATGGGGAGGAGGTACCAACAAAACGATACAACCTGAAATTTTCGCGAATTAAAAAATGCAAATATATCTTTACATATGCATCAGTATTAAAAATAATACAGGCTGGAACCAACAGGAGCGGGAGCAGGAGGAGGAGGTGGAGGAGGAGGAGGAGAGGTGGAGGAGGAGGAGAGGAGGAGGAGGACGAGGAGGAGGAGGAAAGAATGGAGGCGCCGCGGAGCCCTGATTATGCATGGGCTGGAGCTGCCTCCTCTAACCTGTTCTTCTCCGAGCCCGGCAGCCGGCGGTCCTCAGCCGCCCACAGAACAGGAGCCGAAACAACCGTTCCCGAAGGCTACAGCGTTTATTTTTCTCTTTTGGGGGGTTTTGGCGGTTGTTTCAGGGGCTAGCCAACTGGCCCCTTTAATTAAAAGCTTCAATAAAAGGCGATCGCGCCAGGAATGCACCCGCTCCAGATAGCGCAGGATTTGCATATTTTTTTAATGCCCTAATTTCCTTGATGTATGTAAATGTAGCCGGACGTAGAGGGAGACAGGGAGCTGACGTCAATGGACGTGACCTCGCAGCTAAACCTTGAACGTGAAGCCGGGATGGGGGAAAACACGGAGCGGCAGCCGGCGGAGCCCAAGAGCGCGGGCAGCGGCGGCGGCAGCGGCAGCGGCAGCAGAGCTCAGACCGGAGGTGCCGAGGGGGGCCCGTGCTGGCCCCGAGGGAGGATAAGCCGCTGCATTCTTTCTGCACCGGGCGGCTCCCGGCCTCGCCAGCCTTCCGGCTGCACATGCGGACTCTTGTCCTGAGCCTCCAGCCCCACCAAATACACATTCTTTCGCTTCCCTTAGAAAATCAACACACCCCAAACAACAAACCAAAATCAACAGATAACCCAAATCGAATCCCCAGATGTTTTAGGCCAACGCTTGGGTAGCTTATCAGAAAGAAGACTCTGACAATGGAACATTTTTTTTTTTTTTTTGCATCTCTCCACAAGAAGAGGAGGGGGAGACCACAGACAACAGCAAATCCCTCCTAAAACACAACTACATGTGTTCCCTGTAGGGAGAGGTAAATTGCCCAGCCGACTGGCGGGGGCTTCTCGTTTCGGTACCTGTTTACCTGTGCACTCATTTCTGAGCCTCGGCTTCATTAACAGTGTCATGGGCGCGCGTTTTAACGTGATGGGAGTGCCCTGTGGGCTCTGTGTGTGTGTGTGTGTGTGTGTGTTGGGAGGTTCTTGGGCTGGCCAACACCGAGGCAGGCACTGTGAGCAGGATGAGAGACGTCAGTCTTTTCGTGGCCACATCTGGGACTTATCTGCGGAGATATGTAGGCCAGAGCTCCGAGGCTGGGGTTCGAGATCACCCCTTTCAAGGGCGAGGCCGGATAAAGCTTCCCCTTAACAGCCAGGCCCTCTCCGTTGCATTGTCTGGGGCAGGGGATTGAGGTGTTAGCCATTCCGTAGCCGCTGCCTTGCCAGATCTGGCCTGATGTTTTTCACTTGGAGCTCGGCGGCCTGGGCGCGGAGGTGCAGAGGTGCGGAGGTAGCGAATCTCCGAGTCGCCGCAGGGAGGCCTCCAGACTCCCCTCCCTCTGCCCCGTGCGCCAGCGTTTGCGGGTCCGCTAGGCGACCGCGATCCGCAGACACCTCCCTGTGCACATCCGCCCTTGCCTTGGCTCTCCGCCCTCTCTAGGCAGCTAACAAATGGTCCTCTGCCTCTTCTGGGTTGGGGCAGAACTGCGGGCAGGCAAGAATGGGGTGCGGGAGGCCGTGGTGTTGGCTCCTCAGCCTCGCCATCGGCCGCCAGGCTGCCGTTCCTTCGTTCCACCTCGCAGCCCCAGCTTTGTTTTTCTCATCTGCTCTTGGCCACCGGGCCCCACGCCTGCTAGGGGAGTGAGTGCGTGTGCGCGGGGGGCGGGCGCTCGCGGCGGGCGGGGGCCCTCCCGCCAAGGACACGCAAGGCTATCTGTCCTCCGGCTGCACTTGGCGGGAAAGCCAGGGGTAGCCAGCGGGGCCGCGCGCCTGCAGTTCTCATTACCGCCTCGCTGCTCCCCCTGGGCCGCATTTACATACGGGCCACTCGCTGGAATTTTTACTGCGCCCCCCCTCCGCCACCTCCCCTCGGTTGCACGCGCGCAGGCTCGGAACTACAGCTTGGGCACGCAGACACCCGCGCCCAGGCTGCGGCCCGCCCCGGGCGCACAAACAGGCCCGGGAGGGCAGACGACTCTCGGCGGGACGGATTCCTGCACCGCCTCCCCGTCCCCTGTGCGCCCAGACCCCTGACACCCCCCTCGCTGGTGTTAGAGGAAGCCCACCTTCCCCTTAAAGCCCCCACCCTTCCCTCTCTGCACACTTCCACCCCCACCCTCCCACATCTGTGTCTCTCCTTGGAACACACACACACATATACACACTCTTTTTATTTCCCCCTCAAATAACCCCTATGGCGCGTCCGTGGTACCTTTAGAATAGCTCTGGAGTGTAGAGAATAAAAATCTTTATAACGTATTGCTTGTCTTTAGCCAAACATTTAACAACCACGACAAAAAAGGGGGGGGAGTGAGGAAGGGGGACTTGAACCAAAGGACCTTTCTTTAAAAAAAAAGTCTGCAAGTCAAAAGGTCATTCTTCAAGTTTGTAAATAAAATTGCAAAGGGAGTCCTTAGAAAAGAAAGAAGGAGAGGAAAGAAGGAAGAAATGTAGAAAGACCGACAAGTTACATAAAATGGTGCATTGGAAAAACAAGACAGGGCGATTCTTTTAAAAATGAGTCTTAAGAAACCAACGGGGGAAAAAAACTAGAGGAAAAAAGAAAAAGAGGGAGAAACAAATAAAAGGCAAAAAGGCAAAAGAAGTTTCCAAAGAAATGTGTGCTTTGCATCCTACAATAGGAAAATGTAGCCATTGCTCTCCTTCAGAGGAGACATTTCTAATTTGTTCCATCTGTCAGGAGGGGACTATGAGAGGTTTGGGTGCAAATTCATTATCTCTGGCAACGCAGAACGTAGTGTGGGGACTGAAAAAGACCGTGGCAATGGATGAACAATAGGGCTTCAGTTCATCAGTAACAAAAGCAGTGGGGAAATTGGTTGAGTTTCAGAGCACGTCCTCCTCGGCAGAGGGGGCTGGACTAGACCTTGGACAGCCCCCCCAAAAACTTGCCAAGCCTCGCACACACCACTTCACTCTCCCACTCCGAGGCTCAGGGAGCAAGTGCCTGGGGGGGGGGGGAGAGATATATATTTTTTCCCTTTCCATGGTCTTTTGCACCCTTCTCTCTCTCCCAAGAAGGGAAGACTTGTTTAAACTATTTTAGACGCAATCAAGCAAGAATCACCATGTGGAATTGAGCGCCAGTTTTAAATGTGCTGAGGAGAGGAATGATCTGAATTTTTTTTTTTTTTTTGTTTGAGACGCCAAAAGGAGCCTGTTTGTGTGCTGCGGCCGCACTGTGACTCTGGATCTTGTCTTCTGACCAGCGCTTCGATTCCTGCCTAGCTGGATTTGGGTGGCATTCACTGCCTGGCGCGGGGAGAGCAAGTGAGTATCAAGGCGGCCCTCAGGCTGCAGCTCGGCCGGCGGCGCTGGGCCAGCGGTGCCCGCCGCGGCCTGGCGCCCGCACTCCTCAGCGTACCCGCGAGCTAGTGCCCGCAGAGCCCCGCTGTGGACCGCTCCGAGGGCCAGTCCAGGGCTTTGCTTCAGCTAATTGATTATGTGCCTCGGTTGCTAAACCTGTTGATCTCGTGAGTTTTCTGAGCCAAGACTGTTAATTATCCAGCGGACTGACCCCCAGTCGCAGAGAGATGCCAGGAAAATTTCGCGTTGGAAAAGGCAATTCTGTATGTTATTTTGTGCTGCTGATGGTAGGACTTTCCTTTTTTAAGCCTAAAGCGAAATACAATTGTATTTTGCGTTTCTGGTTTCAGAATTCACATTTTGAATAATTCGCCCTCTTTTAACCGCCCCCATATTGCAATTACCTGGCAATGAAGAGAAGGTCTGATTAAGTCCTGGTGGAAAACTTGTGAACAGTAGCTAACTAGATCTGGTGGATATCCACGTCCTTTTCCTCTTTGCCTTTTGGATATGGGGAAGCGAAAGGCCACTTTACAGGGTTATCCCAAGTTCAACTTCATCAAGATGCAACGTCTTGGTTAGTTATTGGTACTTCAGCAGTTGAGCTTCAGACGCTCTGGTATCAGAGCAGAGCCGGGTCTTTGCGGTTTGCTTAGAGCCTAGACAAGGCTGAGGAAATGAGGACCCCCTTTCTGGGGCCTAGAATTATCTGCCGGAACTCTTGGCAGGAGGAACCAACGCCACGCATTTGCATTCGTGTCTGAGACGTTTTCTCTTGCAAATGTACCCGCGCTGCTTGAATGGGGGACTGTCTTGAGGGGTCAGGGCAGCTGTGGGATTGATCAGAAGTTAGACAGGAGGCCCTGTCAAGTCACGGCCACGGCCGGGGGCCCCTTCGGAGCTGTGCCTGCCTTGGGCTCAGAATGGCGGGGTCGGATCCAGTTTCCTCACTTTCCCGGTGTCCACCTCTGCCTGCCACCCTCCTCCTCCACCTTGGCACTAGTAATTAGGGCGCTGCTCAGGAAGCGAGCTCTATAGTCAGCATAATCTAACCAGGGCAGTACTTTCATTTTGCAAAACCAGTAGTCCCACCCTTCCAGTCCAAAATAACAATAAGCATTAAAAAATCATAAAAGAAAAGCAACCTATTTGGGGGGACTGTAAGACTTCCTGAATCTTGGATTGTAGGAGAATGGGGGAAGGGAATTAAAAAAAATCCACCACTTTACAGCAATCAGGTTTTACATTATTCATTGATTTACTGGAGGAAAGAGCCAATCAGGAGCCATAGATATGAATGCACATCTCAACGTGCTGTGGCCTTACAGTAAACTATTTGCATCTTTCTAATGGATTAGGTATTTATCCAGGGATTCCCATTGTTTGAAAGGCCTGCAAATTCATTCTCTTAAACATCTAGAAAATAAGACTTTGTCCAGTCTTAAAATTCTTACATGGAAGGACTCTCCTCTTTTGTATGGCAGGTTGCAAGCTTCAAGTTCCTAATGTTTCTTAAGAGTCCCTCTTCCTTTCAAACTAAAAAATACAAGAAAAGAAGAAAGAAAAATTAATTTCCCAGACCCCCTCCAGATTCTGCATATTTTGCATTGCCATTATTATGCATATATAAATTTAAATGCAAATTAGCATATTTAACCCTGTGGGTGCTGAGACTTAGGATACAGTATAGTGGGATTTCATGGAATTTCTTGGTATTTTAAGGAATCATAGTAATTGCAATACTTTAGATGAAGCCATATCTGTATATGATTTTATATGCATATACAAAAACTATGATCTTTTGTTTTCTTGACTGTTTTTCAGATGAGGCTGCAAAGAAGCATAAAATGAATAGACAGTCCAAGCAACCAAAGGTAATTTTAAGATTTACATTTGATAAAATCAAAGTGATATACAAAATCAAAATAGAATTTTATTTACTGGGTGGCAGGCCTGGAGTGTATTGCATATCTCCCAATTCATGCAATGGATAGAATTTCAGAGAAATCTACGTTTTCATATGTGTAGTTTTTTCCCCTGTAGGGAGCCTTTGTATATTATGTATCAAGCATAATACGAACATAAGTAACTGCCTATAAAAAAAAAGGAATTTGGGTTACTGAAGAAATAATAGAATACTTTTATTGGAAAATAAGCCAGTCAAGTACTTTGCCTCAACTATTCGAATCCAAATTGCTGTGAATTAAATGGCTTTTATGTAGAAAATGATAGTCTTGACTATAGTAGTGGACTGTGGTTTACATGCATGAGAATCATGGAAACCGAAAATTAAAAGGGAATTTTGGTGATACTTTGCAGTAGGATTCTGAGGTGTTCTTAATATTGGTGACAAACTTGATCTATTTGAATTTAGGAAATAACATAATTATGACCTAAACATGTGGAAAATCATAACTTTTCACTTTTCACTTAAGCAGAGATTGTTTATTCCCAAGTAAGCCAGGATATTTCAATTCATGTTTCAGCCATCTGGAGACCTATAAAAAGATTAGAAAACAAGCATGACAATCACGTCCTAATCTACTGGCCATTAATGAGAATTTATTAGCGAATGAGCAGGCAAGCCATTTAAATTCAGTGTATCTTTCAATATGCAGATTTCAAAATAGGCATTCTGTGGCTCAGCTAAATAGCTTTTTGAAAGCAAAAATATCTGATATGAAAACATGTAGGTATTAATAATTATTCTTAAAGTGTGACAGACATTGCCAGGAATTTAGAGCTATACAATTGTTTCAACTTGTCTAATATTTTATATAAAATACAGTTATTGACATATGTCTGATAAAACATGATATAGACCTTGGCAATATTCAAAATAATCATATGCTTTGTATTTTTTTGTTTCTCCATCCCCTGAGAGATGATGGAGAGGTAAAATATTTAATTGGCTATATGGCTAATGAACAGACTGCCTATATTCCTAATGTTGGCTATTTTCACTTATTGGGGCTCCCATCATGAGTCTATGGTATATATACCAGGTATGGAGGCCAGTTCTGCAGTCGTATGGCTATGGGCGTTGATTGCCCTAGAAGCTGCTATTTTAAGAAAGCACATTCTATGGCTTCTAATTGTAGAAGCATTGCAAATGTTCAGTGTCTTGGCTTTCATGATGGGGTACATTGGTTCTAAAAATGCATATATGTAAGTAAACTGTATTAATTTGCAAATTGACACACATATGGGGATGACAAACATACACAGACATAAATGCATTGCAACTGTCTGTTTTCATCCACCCTCACCCAGGTATATGCCAATAGAAAGATATTCTAAAAATATTTAGAATTTCTTGAGCTTTAACTTAAGGAATTGAATTCATCTGATTACATGCTTGCTTTATATGATGCATGCCAAATCACTAATGATTCTTCTATGTCTTGGAAAGCAAGGACACATATTTTCAGTCTTCCAAGGCAGCAAAGCTCAATAGGGGTTTACATAATGTCAAAAGTGGCATGTGCCTTAGTGATTTGTTAAATTTTTGTTCAGTAGTTTATGTTGTGACCAGATAGTCCAAGAAGGAATAATAGTAACCCCATGAGAGTGTGTTTCTCTGAATTAGTGTGTAGTTTAAATGTGCATTTTAGGTATAACCCAATGCAGCTATTCTTGACCTTACCTCTAGTACCATAATTTGATAAGAAAAATAGGTGAGCAATTTCCACAGCTTAGTCTTCTAAACAATCGGTACTGGAATGCTCACCAAAAGAGTAAATAAATAAAAAACTCTAGGGAAAACTTTGTATCTGTGTTATTAAATCATGTCTTTAATTGGTGTGACATTGTTTAAATTCTTGGTTGGGGGCTTTTTTCTAGCAATTCTGGTTTTATTTGCTTGTCAGTCTTTTCGGCGGCAGGGTTTACATATATGTGCTGTATATGTAATTTGGTGAACATGTTGACACTCATGCCTTCAATGAATAAATCACTGAATTAATGAAAGAGGGGCATGTTAATTCCAAAAGTGTTTTAGTCATTGAGGAAAATGGTCAACCTCTAGAAATGAGAGTATTGTGACAAACTAGTGATGTGTGCAATGAATATTAAGATTCATTACATTCTCTTGTAGCATAGATTTTAAAGAATAACAATATCACCAAACATAACACCATTATGAAGAAACAGTTCTTAAGATATATCTATGATGAATATGCATTTTATGTAGACTACCTTAGATGTTCTGTTGAGGGCATTTGAATAGTAGAGCTATACGTATTATAAGTATGTTAGACATAGATTACCCATTATTAAGGACAGAAGAGAAGAAAAAGACTCTTTGAAGTGACCACATAAACACTTTGAAAAGTTCTGAGAAAAGCAATGGGCTACTAAATTAATAAAACAACATTCCCCTGGAGATAGAAGAAAGGTGGGGGTGGGGAAGGAAAAGGTGGAGGTAGAGTTAGGCTTTTAACATCCAGGTGTTTTACGTGTGTTTTTCATGAAGTAACGATTTTTTTTTCATAGTTTCATAAGCAAGATTAGTAAATTTTCCTTCTGTGTGAAAATTAATATTTTAAACAATAGACAAAGGCTCAGCAGTTTTCTTCAGCAGAGTTGCGAACCACATTAGAAACTATTGCTGCAATGTTTACCTGTGCTGCATTCTAACGCACGCACCCTACATATGCAGTCATTTTTTAAAAGCCAGCATGAAGTCCGTTTGCTTAGAGTATTCAATTTGAACTTAAAGAACAAAATACTATCGCCATGGTACATAGATACAAAACATGACTGAGCTGTGAAGCCATTAAAAACACACCATCAGAGCAAATTGTCAATGTAATCACACATCGACTCACTGCGTAATACAGATCTGATTCCCAGCCCCAGAAAGCGAGGCCCTGCTTTAAGCAATAGCAAAGTGCCTTCCATCTGTCTGCCTATGCAATCTGCCAGAAGAGAAATGCAGGCAAAGACGTTCCCCAGATCTGAAATGCTTTTATCTGTCCTTAGAGAGAGATTTCTTCCAGTCTTTGGATATTAGAGCGATCTACACTAGCACGGAGGAGGTAAAAGGCCGCGGGTTGCTTTTCCAGAAGCAGTCGGTAGTGCTAGCGGAAGAGATGTTGATTGAAAAAATAGGGCTTGTTGCAATGCTGCCGCTACTGCTGCTGTCGCTGCCGCTGCTCGGGCAGCGGGCGTGGGGCAGTTGGCTGATCACTGATGCATATCAATAACCATGTACTTGAGATTTTTCATGACATCATCATTACCTTGGTCTCCCGCGGTCTCGAACCTTTGACCCTGCCGGGCTGGTCCACAATTTGGCAGTGCAAGCCCCTCCAATGATGGCCCTTTTCTCCTTCTTTCAGACCGGGGGCAGCAGCAGGCCAACAAGACGGCATCTTCTCCCCAGCCTAGAAGCCCTGTGAAATCGAGGATCTTCCCCCTAAAACACACATACACAAGATATGTGCAATCAAGCTGCCACCGCTTGGTAAAAAGCTCACGGTGCCTAACCCAAAAGGATCAGGAGCAGATCCTTGAATCAGCTGTCACTTCTATAGAATGGGATTTTTTTTTTCCTTCCTCCTTAACCAGCGCTGGAAATTGCCATTGGCTTTATACATCTCTATAGAGAGAGGCTAAGAGTCTTGCGTGAGAAGGAAGCAATTTACAATGCAAATAGAGGCCTGTGAAGGGACGGACGCTGCTGCTCGGGCGGAACAGCTTGCTGCACCTTAATAGCTGGTTTTATTTTCTGATATTAATAGATGAATTGTTGGCTAACGCTGCCGGAGATTACTTGCTGAAAGGAAAAAAAAGTTCGGAATAAACTCTGAAGGCAACAGATCTCGTTTGGATGTTTTAGCTGCATACACACAAACAGAAACCAGGTCGTATTTGCATAAAAGGAGGAATCTTTTAAGCGCGGCAAGTATCCTGGAGGACGACTACTCGGTACTGCCAGAAAAGATCGGGATGTGGAGTCTGGCCGGAGGAAGACAGAGGCCTGTGAGGGAAGCGAGTTGTTATCTTTGGTTATCTAGCTGTATGAGTGTATTGGTCTTCATAAAGCTAGATAACCGAAAGTAAAAACTCCTTCAAGATCGCCGGGCAGCGTGTGGGAATGGTCGACTACAGCCAAGAGACAGTAAAAACAAAGGTCAGGAATACTTATTGAATCTAACTTTTTGTTTTGTTTTTTCCTTATGTCTAAAGGGGGGTGAAAGGAAATTAAGTGCACACATCCTGAAATATAAGGGTGCCAGATATCTGGAGAGGGGTTGTTACAGCTGGAAAGGAGAATTGTATAGTGCTAATGAGTGAAGATGCTTGTGCAGTTCTCTTTTAAGTAAAGTTTATATCTTGATGGATTTTTTTTTCCTTAGAAAGCTGTCTGGTACCTAGTTTAGAAGTGATTCCATAATAGGTAGACTTGGGCAGTTCCCTTCTGAGGCCTCTCCCTCAAAATTGGAAGATTGTGCTTAGAAACTACTTTGCATGTACTTGGGCTATATGTCAAATTCTGTGAAATTAGATTTCTAAAAAAGTTTATACTGGAAGGTTAATAATTCATATCTACTGAGGACTTAGAGCTAGCAGGGAAAATGAAAAAAAAGCAAAGGCTGATTTTTATTCTTCTATTCAAAATGCAAGGACAGATGCTTCTCTGTTCCAAGAGGGTTTCCTTGAGGAAGCTACTGAAGCAGAAAGACATGATGGAGACGAGATCGCCTCCCCTCTTGTCAAAGTGTTAAAAAAATGTTCTGTCTTACTCTGCGCCTAGCATTGGAAATGAAAGTGACATTTACGCCACAACCCACGTGTGCGCCTCCTCTCTTTTTGTTTAAGGATGATCAGGTCTATCCAGGAAACAGCTCTGGCATCCCAAACTGAAATAATTAGGACGTATATAGACCTGACAAAAATGGAAAGGGGGTGGGGAATCTGAGGGTCTGTCTTGCCTAATTGATTCCGCTAAACGGAATGCGAGAGATGTGAACGGCGGGACGCTCCGATTCCCACGCTCGGGGGCAAGTGGTAAAGCGGGGCCGGCAGCCTATGACAGACAGCCCTGTCGGGGGGTGGGGGTATGAAAAAAACATCAAGTGCACACACCATACTCATCTCCATCGCTTAAGAAAGTAAAGGCATTTCCCACCCACAGCCATCTGCAGCTTCCCAAATGGCAGCACCAACTGGTCTGTGGCTGCTGCTTGCTGTCTGCTTCTGTTAATTTTTTAGCCCATGTTTAATTTGGCTATAATTAAGTTTGGCTTTCTTCTTGGGTTGAGATCGTCAATATTCAAGGAAAGCTAGTAGAAAGCAATTGCAAGAAAGTCCCAAGACTGCTTGCTCCTCATGTCAAATCCTCAATCTGTGCTTATGGCCTGGGACACTCTTTTGGCTTGTTTTGAGTGGGTTATGTTTAAAATACCTATCTCTATATGACAGTCATTATTATGACTTCCTCAGGTTGTTTATTTCTTACCATGATGCATCTAGGAGCTTGGCCTAATTATTCTGGGTAGATGCACACTGGAAGTAAAACTGTAAAGTTGTTGCCTTACAAAATTGATTACAATCACAACATGATAAAGGTTGTTGGGAGAAATCTCCATTAGATGGTTCTCTAAAGAGCCATTTTTTTAAAGTCTAAAAATAATTATGCCTAGTAGAAACTTGGGGGCTTTGAAGGTCCCCATTGTAATCTTTCCCTGAAAGTCCTTAGGTTTTTCCACAAGTCACTAAACAAACATTTGTATAGACATTTACACATAAATACAGCCATTTCAATAAGAAAATGTCCAAAATGGCCTGTAATCTTCCACATGGCCTAGATTATTGACAATCCCAAATACACAAGTTTATCTTCAAAAGCAGTGCATTTTCTTTCATAGCTTCAACTCCTTATAACACTTCGGACTGGAGAAGTCTGCAAAACCACTGTTAGTTTCAGTTAGAAACTCTGAAAGACTTTATTAAGGTAAATTCTCAATTTGGCTGATGAACACGTGCCAAAGTTTTACTACTGTAGTGACCATTGGGAAGACCCTTGTTTATTTACATTTGAAGCACTGTTTGTGCAAACAACCTTTCATTGTTAAGTGCCTGTATTCCTTTCATTTACTTCATGTCCAGGGGTGCTATTTACCTAGAACCATTGTCTACTACAATTAACATTTACATTACAAAGTGTGTGGTTTTCTTTCTCAAGGAGGTTCAATTAAGGCAATAAGATGTTTGCTGGGGAAACCTATTGTTTACTGAAAGCACTCAATGAAGTCAAATTACTGAAGCTTTTGCCTACATCTTGGTCTTTTATGTAAATATGTTAAATATAACATCTAAGGAAAATAAACTATTATAATTATGTGTTTGCCATTGTCATATCAAACTTGCTTTGTATCATACTAATGTTACATAACTTACTGATCAATAAAAATACATTTCAATGTTATTATTTTCATTTTATTTTTTGCTGTTCCACTGCTCTTGCTGCAACATGTCCCAATTTTTCTTTTTCCTATTACACATCAAACTTCTGGCATTTTGTTTTATTTGTGTGTGTTGAAGAGAGGTACTGTATCTGAGCATGAGTCTGAAGGGTGTCCAAGATAATCTCTACAATGACCTTATAATAAGGTGATATTTCTTTGAAATTTGAAATATTCCAAAGGCATGTACATTTAAGTCAAAAGAAGTGTAAATATCAGTTAAGTAGTTCTTTGAAAGCTAGTTTTAACATTGGCAGAAACCGGATCAAGTTTATTTAGCATACCACTGCATTGTAAAACAGTTGGAGTGAAGTTGCAGGTTGCGTGAGTATGCATGTTAACTAGTGGGAACCAAGCGCAGTCTTTGTGAAAGGGGAGCAGCAGATTGCTGTGCAAGGCCAATGTTAAAAAGGCAGCTGAATTTAACACCATCTGGAAGAAAAGATCCCTTCACGACTTTCTCACACCGTCAGACAAAACTAGTGTCTCTTGTTCCGAGCCCTTGTCTATGCAACCATACAATACTGAGTCATTATACTTTTGCTGAGAGAAAATTTGAGAACACAATATGGGTAACCAGTGAATGACCAAGTTTCATTGTGCTCGCTTAAGTCGATTGAAATCTACGTCTAGAGCTATGAATGGTAGTATTGTTTTCCTCACCAGGGCTGTACTAAATGTCAGCACAGTGTAAAGAAAAACTGTAAAGAAAAGTCTGCAAATAACTTACCAGATCTCAATTATAATATTTTCCCACACTAGAACTAATATCATTGCGAGGGGCTACATTGCAGAAAATACAAAAAAAAAAAAAAAAAAAAGAAACAAAATGAAATAGAGAGTTCATTTAGAAGTTATTTTATCCAGACAAACATTTTAATTTTCTGATAGGAACTTCAATTCAGGCTGCAGGCTGGGTTGAGAGGTGGAATTCATTACTGGGAAGTTCAAGTTACAAAAATGCTTCTTGTGCAATTAAAATAGTATAAAACAAACACCTAGTCCCACCTGAAACCCTCTCTTTTTAAATATAAATGGACTGTACTTGGATTTTATTGCTATAGTTCTGCTTAGAATTGTTAGTGTGAATCTAGCTTAAATTTTAAGAGCATACTGCTCTTTCAGAGTTAGCCACTATGATTGACATCGCAAAAGAACACCATAAATGTACCTTTCCAAAATTATACAAGAACATTCTGGCACTTCCTTACTCTGGATTCTGGTGCCTTCAGAAATACACTTCCCCTTTATGATACACCCCTCCTCCCATTTTCTAACTTTTTTCCCTCCTGATGTGGTAAATCAGTTATCCTTAGATTTAACATTCACACAATCTATTTGACTGTAAACAGCCAGGAAAAGGAAACAAAACAGTTCAAAAGAGTAAAAGGAGTTGGTTGTGTATGTTTCATTAGGATGTCTATTTTAAATGTAATTGACTTTGCAATTTTGTTACTGTGTCACCAAGTGTCTCATAGTTCTTAACATGTAAGTGCAAAACAATGAGTAATTGCTGTTTTGCTGAATAATACATCTGAGTTGCCAACGTCAAAGGTATTGTTTTGTGTATTTCTAAACAGGAACGTTAACTACAGGTTTTGACATCTAGAATCTTTTCATGAAATACTTAGAAATAGGCTGATGAAATGATACCTGTTTAAGTATATATAAAGATATAACCAACTTATTCCTTGTCCTACTTTATTGTACTAGAAAACTGACAATGAAAGGCCATTCAATAATAGAATTATAAAGGATATAAAATAATTACGGTCTTACAAAAAAATCCAAAACAATAACAAAGATGGAAATTGGGTACAAAAAATTGGTAAAAAAAAAAAGAGAGAGAGATAGGAAGACTTCTGCAGTATCCTTACAGAATGTGAGTGGGTATTTTCACCAGTATCAGGCCCCCTAATGAAGTTACCATCAATATGCATAGTAATGAGGTAAATACATTATTTACATTCAAAATGGAGTATTTCTCCAGAGTGTCATTTCATTAAATCACCTTAAACACAAAGAACACTTCACTGCTAGTACTCCTTGTGTTTATTTTTAAAAATTAAAATAATTTTTTTGTTTAGAAAAATGATGAAATTCTAATTTGCTTTTGTATAGTCAGATGAAAATTAAGAAACCACATACTAAGGGAAATGGATGATTATATTCCAAGCTCAGAAACTACATATCAACACATTAGGACATTTGAGCATTTTTGGAATTTTGACTTTTTAGAATTGGGGAAATGAAGCTAAGGGTTTTAATTTCCAATGTGGCTAGAAAATGAATGAAAGCGTGTGTGTAACTCTATCTTTGTATCTATTTTTTCCAAAAATTTGTACCTCTGGAAATGTTATGGTGGTTTAAGAATATTGATAACATTTTCCACTATATCTTGCTGTGACTTTGCCCCCTAATTTGCTGGAGTAAGTAAAACACACCATAATATGTTATATTTGGATGTGTGCTGGGGGGGTAGCGTTGGGAGGGGTGACATGGGACAAAGTGTCCTTTAAGACTAAGAGCCAACTAATTAGAATCAAAGCTGTTGAGAAAAAAGCTATAGTACTGAGTCATTTGTTTTAACATTAGTACTTGGAGACAGTTTAACAGGTCCTACAGCAATGGGGTATGTACGGCAGTTCTTCAGTATCTCTGGATTTTAATGGATAGCTTTGTTATCCTGGTTTTCTGTTCATCAGTTTCTTAACACAAGTTAAACAACCTAGTACAGAAATCTCCATTCCCATTTGCTCAGAGAGCCCACTTTACTCCTGGGAATTGTTTGACGTTTTTTTGTGGAATTAATTCTAAGATGGTGAATGGAAATGAAAAGTATATAGTTGTGATTGATGCTAAGGAGTATCTGCTCTGCTCGTCCTCAATCAGGGCTGCGAGAGTTAGTGCATTTCCTTAGAAAGGTGATGACCATCTTTTGAGGTGGGAGCATGTGGCTTTCTTCATTGCAGCCAACTGCCAGACCGCAGAGGGTAGGGCTTTCAAAAAGAGCTGATAATCGACTTGATTCAGGAAAACATGGAATTTTGAGCCATATTGTTCAAAGAGAAGCACATCACCGTGTTTGGTGGCTTGACTCGGTTTTAGCTGAGCGCGGGCACAACGCATTCTGGAGACCTAAAAATAGCCAGGCTTAGCAGCCGCCTTACAAGGTGCTGGGCGTGGGCGGTGCACAGAGCAGACAGCCGACTCTGACTGGCTGCAGAAGTGCCTGGGCTAGGCAGTGGCAGCGGCAAAGGCCGACAGCCCGCCGCTGGGCAGCACGACGCCTCCGGGTGACCGCCAACTGCCCGAGTCCAACTCGCAGCGCTCGCCTGAAAGCGGGCGTCTGATTGGTGTTTCCCGGGAGACGGGCTGCCCTCGCAGCCGGAGCTGGTGCGCCGGCGCGCGCGCTCCCGCGGCTGGCGCGCGGCTGGGAGGCTGGGGGCGCGCTGCGGCCCGGGTAGCCGGCTGGGAAGCCTCCCAAGTTCGCGCGAGCTCAAGTTCCCGCGCCCGCCCTCCGCGGCTTGGAGGCTGCAGCCCCGCGCCGCGCTGCGGGACCGGGCGGGTCCAGCAGTCAGCCAGTTCCTTGCCTGGCACGCTGGGCTGTTGTCCGCGAAGGCTGCTCTCTGGTTTTTTCTTGCCCCCTCCCCTCGGGCCCTCACCAGCGTCCTCAGTCCCTGCCTCTGCTCCAGTTGGGGCCTGCAGTTGTTTGGGAATCCCTGAGTTGGGCTAGTGAATGGGGGTGGTGTCGAGGTTTAGTCCCGCCTGGACGTCCGCTAGAGGCGGGCATCTTCCAGCAGCCACCCCCTGGCGCAGGGTCCCGTCCTTAGGCCACCAGGCAACTTGTGGTCAGGGGGCTTTTTTTTTGCTGGTGCTCGATTTCTCTAGTTTTGCCCAGACTTCTTCCACGGATAGATCTGTAACATTGACAAAGATATCGTGTCCCCCTCCCAACACATTCTTTCACCTAGTGAAAAGCTACTGACGGAATGGGTGCCCCCGCGGGGTAGCCCTGGTTGTGGTGGTGGTGGTGGTGGGGAGTTTTGTTCGGGAGTCGGAGGTTGGAGAGGCCCCGCCACTCTGGGCCCTTCCGTGGAGCAAGTCCCACCTCTACCCCCATTGCCCATTAGGAGCGCTGGGCGCATCTACCTCCCATCATCAGATTTGCTGGGAATATTAATCTCCTTGTTGGGTGGATACAGTAGAACTTGTTCAGAGATTACTTTAAAAAGAGATCTGAGTCTTAAGCACTTACTAAAGCCAGTTAATAACATCATGCATGGACATTTAAACTTGTTGTAAGTTGCAGAGAGGATTAGCGGGAAGTCACGCTGTGCGCAGCTAATGATACCATCTTAACTCTAACCGGGCTAAATCCATCTCGCCCAGCGCAGGTCCGGCTCTGCGGCCCTCGGGTGAGGCTAGGAAAGAGAGGGTCTTAAAAGAACGGAAGGAGGACAGAGACCAGAGAAACCGACCTGGGCTTCGCTTCGGGTGACGGTCACTGGTCCTAGGAGGCCACAGGCGGTCCTGCCCCTGGGCCTAGGCTTCCTGGTGCACACTGATGCACCACAGTCCGCGGGCTGAGCTTCAACAAGAGGAAGGGCACTGACCAACAGGTGGAAACACTTTTGATTTCATTACCCCTAGGGTGTACAAGGTCTGTTGTAAGCTCAGGTGAAGTCCCATGATTCCAAAAATGGTGGTTTTCTTGGATACTGGTCGATTTACATTGCAAAGGCCATTTACTTCTATTCTCCTTTTACAAAAGTAGTCAAGCTCAGTATTTCACAGGTACACTTCCAGGTATATTATTAACAACCTTCTGTCATGGGTTTACTCAACTAGTTTCAAACTGATTACTGTTTTAAGGCAGTTTGCGATTATTTTATGACAGGGCCAATTAGAAATAATCTTGGAGAAATGCTTCAAAAATTCTGCGTTATTAAAACACTTACCC